CGTGTAAGACAATTTGGATTACAAAATAAAAATGGTGCGTTTTTAGTCCCAATCATGTAGTAGATCTAATCCTCAAACGTGCAATTATACTGCACAACTCTCCAACACGTTCTTCTGCACCATTTTACATTTAAAAAAAATGTCTACTTCGATTAAACTCGCTCAAAAAATCTGTTTTTTTTTGTCAACACTTATTCTTCATTTCCTAGCAACCAAAAATGGCTGCTCTCAAAACTCTCCTCTTGGTGCTTCTCCCCCTCGTCTTCCTCGTCGCTACCCTCACTATCATTACCTCCGCCGATGAAATGGCCAAACCCATCGTGGAGGACGAGGAGGATGAGGACTTGAGTTTCCTAGAAGTGCCTAAGGCGCCTAGAAACCACCCTTACTATGCTGACCCAAAGTATAAGCCCCAAGGAGATGAAATTGACCTCGACGACTTCCAAACACCTTCTCCACCTGTTTTCGACGAGAAAGACGTGGTGGTGCTAAACAAGACCAACTTTGATGAGTTCATCAGCAAGACCAAGTACGTGATGGTTGAGTTTTATGCACCGTGGTGTGGATATTGTAAGCAGCTTGTGCCGGAATATGCTGCGGCCGCTACCGAGCTGAAGAAGGGAGGTTCGGATGTCGTGCTTGCTAAGGTTGATGCTATTCAAGAGACTGAGTTGGCTGACAAGTATAATGTTGATGGATTTCCTACTCTTTATTTCTTTGTTGATGGTGTATATAAGTCGTACGAGGGTGAGAGGACCAAGTGAGTTTCTTTAATCGTTTTTCTTCTATTTTTTTCCCCTTTTTTTTTTTTTTTTGTTCAATTTGGTTGATTGTTTACAGAATTATTATTTGCATTTTTTTGTGTTTTAATAAAGAAACCGTAGAGGAAATGGGGAATAACTACATAAACATCCTCATTTTGCATGTGCAACTGACTTAAGTTATATTGCAATTATTCTTAATTATTTTCTGTACAAGCATATTATGATTTGAAATCAAACATTTTGACAAATTTTATAATGGTCGATTGAAATATGACTATTATAATATTTCAATAATTATGCTGTTCATGATTGACAAATTTTTTTTCAAGTTATAAAGTTATGTCAATATATTTGGTATAAAATAGTATCATCAACATTTTTTTTTATCTATTCATTCATTTTTATTTTATAATTTCTCAAAAAATATTTTTTAATATTAGATCAAAATTTAGTCGAATAGTTAGTCAATTCGTTAGTTAGTCGAATAGTCTTGTTCAATTCGTTTCAATAAATTTAAATATGGGATAGAGGGAGTAGTTTTATTATTTGTTATTTTTACCGAGTTTTGTTAGATTATGTTTTGGATAAAAGGAATAAAATAACCCCTCTAACTGAAACTATTTCAGAAAATATTTGGCGGGTAAGTTAACTAAACAATTTTTAGTACGACATAATTTACTAGTTAATTAAGAAAGGAAATCATTTTTCATGTATTTGACAGAGAGGGCATAGTTTCCTGGCTAAAGAAGAAGACAGGCTATGCAGTAAACAACGTGACAACAGTTGAGGAAGCAGAGGATATCTTGCTTGCTGAATCTAAGCTCGTCGTTGCGTATGTTGATAGCCTAACGGTACGTTATATTTGTACTCCGTATTTCTGAAATCTTACATACTTTGTTTGTTTCAGAGAATAATCGGATATATATTGTACCAATTATTGGCAGGGCCTGGACAGCGAGGTTCTTAATGCTGCAGCCGAAGAAGAAGATGGTGTCAACTTCTACCAGACAACCAGTCCTGATGTAGCTGAAGTATTTCAAATTGACTCTAAGGCGAAACGCCCTGCCTTGGTTTTGTTGAAGAAGGAGGTTGAGAAATTATCCCATTTTGGTATGTTTTATCATGTCACACTACACGCTAAACTCTGTTGTTAACAATAAACACTTGACAAAAATCAATAATGGTAATGAATTAGCTTTTATTCACTTTAAATATTGTATGGTTTTTTGAGCTGTGACTCACTGGTTCTGATATCATGTTAGTGGACCAACTCAACCAAAATATTAAGCTGTTGATTGAAGCCCAAAAATATGTTTTACACTATGTCAATATTGCTGTGAATTCAAGTTCAATTTTTCATTTTTAATTTAGTGTCTAAATAAATGAGTTTTGCATTGATGTTCACAGATGGTGATTTCGCAAAATCAGCTATTCTAGACTTTGTGTCAAAAAGTAAACAGCCTCTGATAATCAATTTCACCATGGAAAGTGCTTCGTTCATTTTTGAAAGCCCAATCCAGAAGCAGGTGCAATATAATTTATTTCTCGTAAACATGTCATACATTGTCTTTCTCTCTACTCCACTCCGGATTTTAGGATACTGAGACCATATGGGTTGTTCTTGTCTAGTTGTTCCTTTTCGCTCCTGCCCAACATTTAGAGAATCTCACCCCTGCACTCGAGGAAGCAGCTAAAGCGTTCAAGGGAAAGGTATGGATAATATAATGAAGTCTTCAGCTTGGTAGTGTTGCAATGATCACCCTTCAAGTATTTGTATGTTAATTAAATTAAACGCAGTTATTTTGAATATATAACAACTGATAATTTATCAAAGCAAACAAAGAGTTCGTTTATCAAGTCTTTTTCTACATGTAATTCTCCTATAAAATCTGTTTTTTATCTGCATTGCCTGTTTTACAGATCATTTACTCATATGTGCAAATGGACAATAAAGAATACGGACAGGCAATGATGGATTTCTTTGGGGTCGAAGGAGATGCTCCAAGAGTTAGTCCCATCTTATACTACTCTTTTTCATTTCTGTCCTCGAGATTTACCTGAATAATACAACAATGTGCCTAATTTTGCAACATTTAGGTTCTTGCATACACTGGAAATGATGATCGTAGGAAGTTTTTCCTGTATGGGGATATTACATCTGACAGCGTAAAGGTTATAATTTTACTGATCTTGAAAACTCGATCACTTTTTCCACATCTAGTATCTGTTGGTGTAACAAATTTACATGTTCTTAATTTCTGCAGTTGTTTTCTGAGAACTTTTTGGCAGACAAGCTTGAGCCATTCTACAAATCCGATCCTATTCCAGAGAACGTGAGTGGTAGATGTTATTCTTCAGAGACTTTCTGCTAAATGACATTGTGTAAATCTTTCTGTATATTTTTTGGCTTCAGAATGATGGTGATGTGAAAATTGTTGTGGGCAAAAACTTCGACGAGATTGTTATGGATGAATCAAAGGATGTACTTCTTGAGGTGATAAATATTTATATGTTGACATTGAGTTACTAACAACGAACTACTATAACTAAATGTACTGATGCTCGCTCCATTGTCTACAATAATATTATCAGATATATGCTCCTTGGTGCTCTCATTGTAAAGCACTCGAGCCAACCTATACTAATCTTGCTGGACATTTGAAAGGAATTGAGTCGTTGGTTGTAGCAAAGATGGACGGCACTAAAAATGAGCATGCAAAAGCTAAGGTAAGTTTTGTTTAGTTGTAGGCGAAACTGTTCTATGTATCTTTGGTTTCATATAGATTGTTTTTCCTATGAGACTTGTGACTATTGTAAGAGACAGTTGGAATCTTAAGTATAACCGATTTTTGTATATCTTCAGGCGCGGGGATTTCCCACCATTCTTTTCTACCCTGCTGGAAAGAAGAGCTTTGATCCGGTCAGTAACCTTTGTTTAACTTTTCTTTTTCATAAGAATGCAAATCTATCTCATTTCTGTTAAAATGTTTGTTAAGGTAATGGTTATGGCTATTTGCAGATCATTTTTGACGCGAACCCAACTGGTGTGGAACTCTACAAGTTCATGAAAAAGCATGCTACCACTCCTTTCAAGATTCAAAAACCAATCCCTGCATCATCTGAAGGTGCTGAGCCTAACATTGCTGAGACAGTCCCAACTACAAATGCCGCTGTCGGTAACCAAGATGCAAAGGATGAACTATAAAAATACTAGTTAAAGAATCTACAATGTATTAGGATCATATACCTTAAGTTCCACTTGATTATTTGGTCCACTAATCTGGATATCTTATTTATAGTTGAAAAGTTCTGCTGGAAAAGATTAATTGATTCACCTAGCTATTTGGATGAGTAATGGTTAAAGCTTTCAGGGTTTTTTGGAATCCTGGACGGCCGCAGACACCTGCAAAACAACGAATATTCCGTTTGACGGAATATTCGTTTCCGACGATCAAGTTAATGATCGGAAAACAAAAATATTTAGAGAGAGAAATAAGAGAGAATTAGAGCAATTTAATATGTCTTGATTGATATGTCTCAATCCACCCCTCTCATCATAAATGATTGGGGTATTTATAGGGGTGGGAATGTGTACCATCTAGGGTTTGATGACATAGAATGGTGGACGACTCTGATTGGCGGCGCAATCAGAATAGGACACGCATCCTTAGGAGGCACCGTTTTCACGCACTCATCTCGGTAACTGGGCCTCCTGATGTAAGGAGGCCCTTTCTCACTCAGGTGCCCTTATGCTTTGCTACGTGCCTGCATCCCATTGTGACACATGTCACCCTTTCATAGGGCCACATGTCACTATTAGATTGGTTCACGTGATGGGGTATTTTTACCCTAAACACTAGTTGTCCAATATATAAAAAAATTGAAAATAGTAAACAGGTTCACATTTTCAAGTTGAATAAATGAAATTTAGTAACTAAAACATAATAAATCTTGTTTAAAAATCATGATTTAATCAACCTGATTAGTAGCAAATAAGATTCAAGTTCGTGTTTTCGACTTTTTTGATAGAAAGTGGTACTTTAACCACCCAAACGCAGCTTAATCCAGACATAAAACATTGATTAACAATGAAATTAAGTGTCATAATTATAGACATTACGGCGAAGATGATACCTTGACATCCCTTTAGCCAAAGTAGAGGTTCTAAGTAAGATTAACAAGTTTGTGCCAACGATTCCAAAAATAATAATGAATGCTAATACAACTATACAAGAATGCAACATGAAGACCAAAAGCCACAAGCTATATAGTAAATGCTTACATAGTAGTGTAATCAACTGAAGAGCTTTATTGACAATTCAATTTGTTCCATTGTGGAACAGAACTAATTTCGTAGCATGTCTAAACAATAAGGACAACGTAACGCAAACAAAATTTTACAATAATTGCATGAGAAGTGGTTCTCCATAAGTTGAAATAATTATGTCCAAAAAAAGAAAAATGTAGAAAAGAAAAAAAAAAAAAATTAAATAAGATACACATAGCATAAACCCGAGTTTCCTAATTTACAGGCTTGCAAAACTCACAACGGCGAAACTTAAACGCTAGCCTCATCTAGCCTTGGTAACTCCATGGGTTCCTGCAGGGCAGGGTTGATAGGGAATAGCTCACACTGCGCATATTGTGCCATCAACTGATCAACAAGTACTAGTGCCACCATTGCTTCCACCATTGGTACAGCTGGAACACATTTTTCAGAAAATTATGGAAGGATAAAAAAAATAAATAAAAAATAAAAAAATCTACTAACTTCAATTTTTTTTTTTTTTTTTTTTACATTTTTAATATTAAAAATTTAATATTTAATTTTTAATTAATTAGTTTTGTTTGTAGAATTGCATTTCAAGACATTGCGTTGAAACCCATCATATGCAGGCGATATTTAGCATACTAGATTTGTGAAAAATGGAAGCATACCTCGTGGGACAACACAAGGGTCATGCCGCCCTCGAGCAATAAGTTCTGTATCCTCTTTATTTCTTGTAACAGTATGTTGTTTCTTCTGTAAGACCATGACATAAACCATTAAATTTTCTTACATTCTTTTATACTCATTAGGTAAATTCAATAACCTTAATAACTAGGGAAAACAATCAGTTTAAATTCAAAAACCGAGCAAAGGGAACTCACTGTAATTGTAGAGGTCGGCTTGAAACCTATTCTCATATAAATAGTTTCACCATTGGATATTCCACCCTGCTCATGGAAAAAATACAGCTTCAACAATCCCAGGCAATCTATGGAGTATCAATACACAGCAGAAACAACGATCACATAAAACTAGTAAATGGTTTAACCTGGATACCACCAGAACGATTTGTTTTTGTCCTAATCTTCCCATGTTCATTCATGTAAAACTCATCATTATGTTCACTCCCAGTCATAAAGGTACCTGAATAAAAACAATTCAAACTCTAATCAAACAGTTGTAACAGAGAAAGTCAACTTCTCTCGGTAGGAAATGTTTACATCATCTACCTGCAAAACCACTGCCAAACTCAAAACCCTTAGTTGCAGGCAATGACAGAGCAGCTTTAGCCAGCTCAGCTTCAAGTTTGTCAAAAACTGGTGAGCCAAGTCCCTGGTATTATATTATTTATTAACAAATTTAAAGAGACATTTAGTCAGTACTAAAATGGGCAAAGCCATGGAATTTTATAAAAGCTCTATGAGGATAACAATGGCTCATGGAGCTAGTCACACAGGTAAATCAAAGAGATCTTACACGTGGAGCATTTCTAACTATACAAGTGACAGCACCACCAACAGAATCTCCTTTAACTCGAACTGCATCTATAGCTGCAATCATTTTTTCTGCATATTCTGGATCAGGGCATCTGACTATATTACTCTCTATCTGATAAGATTTGAGACAAAGAGAAACCTTGTCATGAATAATAGAAATGGACTTCATATCCAATCCTGGAAACTTAACTAACACATAATCATACTTTCCTGCAAGGAAAATAAGAAACAAAGAGATAGTATATTTCAAGAGTAACAGAATACGCCTGAGAGACACACAGCAACATTCAAAAGTTAAGTAATTGAAAATATTGTAGTTAACTGACGCAGCAGCTTCCAGACACCAAACTTCAAATGTATAAATAAAAGAGCCTACATTTACACCCTCACGCTAGATGAAATACGAGCTCATGTAGCCACTTCCATATGAAAAAGCATTGATTGGTTCAAGAAGAAGATAAAAGAAAGTGCAATCAGGATTACAGAAACTTGGTGTTCAAGAAACTTCCTGTAAACTAAATCCCCATGGGATAGGCCTTAGTAGTTATGGCCTTTAGAGGACTAGTGAGATCCACTGTCTGATTAAAGATGGATTCTTTCACTTGTTTCTCAAGCATACCTTCCTCCAGTAGTGATTGCATAAACCAAAATATTACAATCTACACTACCAGCACAATTGATTCAGTCTAGAGACCAAAAGTACCAAGTTTTCGGCGTTCCTCTTGCTTGAATCACTTAATTGGCCAACAGCTTAATTTACAGATCCAGGGATTTCAACATAAACATAGAACTTAAGTGTTAATTTGTTCCCTCATACAAAGTGTTGCCTGTTAATTTGTGGCAAGTGCCCAGTAATTTGGTAAATTTTCACCTCTATTATCTGCTACATATTGGCTTATTCACTAGATCACCCAGATTTGGAAAATTGGGAATTGAAACTCAGTAATATACTAATATCGGTCAAATTTCCTCTTTGCTTGTTCCTTTAGTCTGAAAAAAATTGGAATATTTAAGAACAATAATTCCTGAAAAGAATTTTGGAACAGAACCAGTTTTTGCCCATTCACCATCCTATCACTCATAAAACCATGGACGTTCAACATCTTTGGTCGAGGAAGTCAGTAATCTGTGGAAATTACACTTACCTCAAATATCTGCTACCTCAACATATCCTTGTGAATGCCCATTCTGAAAGCCTTTAACAGAAGTTCTTCAGCAAGAGAGGCGGCCAAAAATCTCAAATAGGCTCAATACTGGAATTCTAGTCCCATAGCTAATGCCCATTTCTTGCCATTTGTTGCCCAGGTTCAGGTGTATAGGCTGACTTGGATTATTGGAGTTTTTGACCTTTATTAAAACAATCACAGCGTTTATGAATCTAAATGTCAGACTTATAAGCTAGCAGAGATTAGTCATTGCAAGCTGGTATTGGTTTTTAATTGACCTATTCAAAACAAAGTATTTTGTGACGGATCATCAAAGTGATTTAACGTGATTACTCACTTGGAGGGAATGTAGGAGCTTGAAATACAATTAGTAAGAGAAAACCTATCATGCACGTGAAGGCAGAAGAAAATTAGAGTTCTTTTCTCTACCTTCTATCAACTGCTCTTGATTCTTCTACTGCAAAATGCTGAAATAAGCTTGAAGATGGGAATCCAGAAAAGAATCTAGTAGAGAAAGAGAAATCTCAAGAATCCAGTGTTATGGATTTCTTATATTTTACAAAAATCCGTGAAACAATTCAAAGTCATATTGAAGCAAGCAGTTTCAAAGTCTAAGCCTGTTACACAGCAATTTTCAGAATTTCCTGTTTTATTGCCTGGTCCACCATACTTCATATTTATTCTACATATTAAGAAAAAGGACCATCTCTTGCTCTGAAAATTACACCTTAACCTTAAGAAATGTCTTAAGTTTGATGAAGAAACTGTGCAGAATTTGCAGGAAGGATTAAACCTTCTATTTTCATTGTATATCACCTAAGCAAGAGGAAGATGGTAGTGGATTCAAATTCACCAAATAAGTAAGATATTTTCAGATTCAAATTCTTTATAACTAAGCTCTCCCACAGTATTACTTAATCTTTTCTTCATAACCTTACTACTATTTTAAGAAGAAAAAAAATAGGACTTGAGTTTGATACTACTCAAAACCCATTCCCTCAACCCAATATCTGAAACACGCAATACTTAACCCAACCCAGCAATCCAATTTAAACTAACCTTTCAATTTCCCCAACGCACAACCTTACAATACCAAAAGAAACTCCACCAACCCCACCCAAACAATACCTTTAATCAATAACAACTCCTGGGATTACATTGCCATAGACTCATAGCCAAGCCATAGGTTGTAAAAAGCTGTGATGCTAAATGAATCAGGGTCTTATTTCAAGTGCGATGAAAAGTGGGGCAACGACCGTCTTTGTAATCATGCTAAGTACTAGGCCTAAATGAAATAAGAATTATGGTTTGAAGATTTTGTTTGGACTAGGGAATGCCTTGAGGAAGAGAATTAGTTAGAAGATAGTAAGTGGACATAAATTTTTATAAATAGTTGGTAAATAGGAAGGAAAAACAGAACTAAGGAGTCAAAATGTTGAATTAATATGATTGAATTAATTAGGGAAAGCTGAGCATCTCAAAAGCATGAGATATTCATTTAGATTTCGGCATCAACTATTATAACGTTCTCTATTTTCCTGGCTTCAAGTCATGGTCCTATCCCATCTCTACTAAAGAGGCGAAGGTGTTATGCCTTGCACAAATCAAACATGATAGGGAGTATGCCTTTTCGAACCTCACTGGTGCACTTAATAAACCAAAACATTATGCCTGTAAAATATTTAGACTACTACAATGGCAGGCCATAAATAACACAAGTTTTTCAGGTAAAACTGAAATCAGTAAATTTTAATAGTTGTAGGGTCGAGTGACTTTTGATACACTATCAAGTGACATGGGCACTGTCTTTGTATACACCCAATAACCTATCCTATGTAAAATTTCCACTGTTGAATTACCAAATTTTAATTGAATCTATGTTATTACAACTCTTCAAATGCATTATGCTCGTTACAACTTACAAGTATCCAACAAGGATACATAAAGTTTTTCGATGTTTTCCACACTACACACGAGTCTCCATATCAATAAAGGAGTTTTGCAAAAATACAAAGGTGAATTGGAGTCTTTAAGTAACAAGTTTTGATCAACAAACAGGCAAACAATTTGATTTCAATAATATTCATCCTCAACCCGAACCAATACAAATAGTATATAATTTACATTAAGCGCAAATTTATCAAGATCAAGTTCTCCATTGAAAAGTGAACTCAGGAAAGCTGTGTTAGGTGTGTCCATCTTAGCATGTCTTATAAAAAGGTTAACCAGTGAGATTGAAAGTGCTGATCATACCTGTTCAAGAGTCAATGTATCATTATCGATAATTCCCTCTGGAAGAACCACCTTGTGCACTTGGGATACGTAAGCAAGAACCTGAAAAGTATCATGTGCCACCAAATAAAGTCATAAAATAAAGTGAAACAATTAAAACCCATAGTAAAAGAATGATCTAATCATTAATGGTGGAAGTACCAAATAAGGGGCATCTTTATTCTTGCACGTACTACATCAGACAGAAGTCATTTGTATTTACAAAATGGCAATCGTTACTTACATCTAATGCCAACTTGGCATTTCAAATCTTGAAAGTAACTCAAAAATGTGACAGGAAACAAGCAAATTATTTCAGCAGAATAACGCTACTTAAAGTTGCATGCCTAATGGGATGCAATAAAATCACAACAATCCACATGATCAGAAAACCATGTAGATGCAAATGAAAGATTTACCTCAGTTCCAGCGAACTTCTTAAGTATCTTCTTAGCTATGGCTCCAGCTGCAACTCTTCCAATAGTTTCTCTGGCAGAAGATCTTCCACCACCCTGCAATTCCAGTGACAACAATTCAATACAACCAGAAACATTTCACTAGACGCAATTTTCTGGAAAAATAAAAAAAACAAGAAGATCAAATACAATCAATTGGAGATTACCTGTACAGATCTAACACCATACTTGAAGTCATAAGTTGCATCAGCATGAGATGGCCTATAAGCTTTTGACATTTCGCTATAGTCCTGGTAAGAGAGCAATGCCAAAAGTCTTCATAATTCAAGCAAATAAAAAAATAGAGCTTTGTCACAATAATTAAATTCTTATTATTTATTTTATACCTCCTTTTTCTTTTTAATTTCAATTGAAATACCTTATTTTTAACTTGATGACAGTCTGACACACTCTACTTAATCCATTTTAGGTGATTTATACTCTTAGAATCACATATTCATATAGGAATTTGTTACATACATCCAGGGGCGAAGGGTCGGGGGAGGGGGGGGGGGCGGGGGCTGGAGGAGGCCCGGCCTCCCCGGCCCAAATCTGTGCTTAATAAGAGTTTGTATAATGGCCTCATATATATATATATATATATATATATATATATATATATATTAGTAATGCTAGACATGTATCATATTATAAATGCTTGTCATATTGGTTAAGGAAGGATGCATATGTAGAAGGGATCCGTTATCAAATCTAGACCCTAACAATTTATTTTTATTTCTACATACATTTGGTTATTGAGGGCTGCTTAAGGCCAAAATAAACCTAAAATGAACATAATTATCACGTAAGCAGAACTTCTAGGTATTTTAAATTATTTTTTTTTATTTGTAATTTCATTCAATTAATATATTTCTTTATGCAATTTATATAATTTGTTGTTTTACTTGTTTATTTTATTTAATAATCTCCTATAATTCTAGATAATACATTGTTTTAATGTTTCTTTTTTTAATATTTATGAATTTCTAAACTTTTAGGGCTAATTGTTTACACTCAAGCATAAAAAATCGGCTGTACAATACAATTTAACTAATCTTTTAATGTAACAATAAAATATTAATACATAAATTTTTTTTGAATCAAAGTATTGTTAACAAGTCTGCCCCTGGACTTGAAAATCTTGGCTTTGCCTCTGCATACATCTCAATGTTTACTTATTGATAATTACAGATTAAAGATACCAATGGTTCAAGTTATGCACTGACAATCCTATAAAAGAAAGTATTTTGTCTAAAAATCTGAGAGAAAGTACAATGAAAAGGGAGAATTAAAACTTTCAAAGGAACCCATCCGCACTAAATAAAATTAAAATTTCTTAGACACAAATTTGTTTCCATTTAAAATCACTAATCGCCCCAACGTAAATTAAACACCAAAACAAAATATATTAATCATAATGCCATTATAATATTGATATACACATGTTGCATAAGCATGAAGTCATAATAGTTATAACTTTTAGCTAGTTCTTCTATCAATGTAATAATTATATTTCATTGTGAATGAGGAAAAGTTAACCATTTACTTTTTTTTTCTTAAATGCCATCTTTAAATATAAAAGCAACAAACTCAGTGACATGATAATAACCAATAGTACTGCATTGCCCAATTACACGATGGACAATGTGTAATACAATCAAAATCCTTTTAACATGTAGCTAGATATACTTACATGTCCTCTTTGGTCAGTATTAGGTACATTTACTGCAATTGGTGATCCAGTAGTCATTCCTACAAGTTATAATATCACTATTAAGGTCACAAGTGATAACAACTAAAACTGCAAAACATCAAAGTTCTACATATTTAATTTACCTTCAGCAACTCCAGAAATAATTTTGCAAGTATCTGTCTCTTTCCTTGGGGTAGTAATCCGGCTTTGGCCAGGCCTCCTAAATTGTTAAAAATAAAAAAGTTCTTGAGACAGAGAGCCAAAATATAACAAACAACACGAAGAGTATAATCCACAACACAAACATAAACCAGGTCAAGCTCATCAAGAAGCCTTTTATTCTATAACAAAATCAAAGAATATATACACTTCGATACCACTGAAAGTGTTTCATGAGTGTATAGAAATTATCGACTTGAATAATTCAATAAAGACCATTATAATGTAAAAACTTCATTTCCAATTCTCGCTTATACATCCACTATTACGTAAGTATTGGGTCAAGGATAACATGGGAGTCACGATTCAAGTTAACCTCAATGTCAATTACCTTCTGTCAAGATCTACTTGTAAATCTTCCTCAGATAAGGGAAGTCGAGGTGGGACGCCATCAACCACGCATCCAACACCACCACCATGTGATTCTCCATATGTTGTAACACGGAAATAATTTCCAAATGTACTTCCAGCAGCTTGAACTTCTGTGATGAACAAAGCAGAATGATAATCTCTAATAAGTTACGACATTTTTGTTTCTATTACACAAAAGCACAAAACAACATAACTAAAATTTGTTTTCTTGGAATAGTTGATGTGTTCAGCTCAGAATAAATAAATAACACAGCTTTTACTCTACTACAACTTTTATCATCTAGTGTTAGCACATAACATGCCACAAGATGAAGTCAAATCCAATCATAAAATTTTCATAAGAGTTTTCTCTATCATTTCTTCTGCTTTACTATTGATTACCTTGGAATATCAAGATCAAACACATGAAAGTTACATACATCCTTTTCTTTCAATCTACTCTTTTTATTTCTTCCTAAACAAGCTGCAATAGAGCATCCCATATTCTCTAGATCACCCTTTTACTCTCAATAGAAGCAAATGTTCAGAATTCTTCATGAACATTGCTACAATAAATTATAAACCTCCTACATTCTCTAGTTTTTGCAATTTTCTTTTTGGTGGTCAAACTTTGCAAACCTTGACGATATCTATTCAACCGTACTAAAATATATTATCACTTCCCAAATGTTAGATGTAAAATTCTTGAGGAAATCGAGGCCTTGGATACTACCTTTGTTCCATTACACAACAAGGTCGAATCTGACCCCTAATTTCTTTCTAACCATTTTCAATAAATATCAATAAACACAACAAACATTCAATTATAAACAATTCCAGCCATATATAGTTACTGTTTCAATCACCTTTGAATTATCAAAAATCACACCAGGACCTGCCAAAATACCTTCATATATATCACCATTTATCTTGCTCAAAACTACTATATCAAAAAGTCAAATGACTGCGCTTTTCTCTTACTCTAAACTTAATCAAACATATTGCATCAAAATTGTAATTAATGCACATTAAATTTCAATATCACTGCAAATTATAATTCTAGCAGCAAAAATTAATCAGTCAATCAGATATAAGCAATTAAAATACTCAAAAACAGCAAAATGATCCAAAAAATTACCAAATTTCCCAGGTTTTCGGCGGAAAGAGATTTGAGCAGGAGGAGACGATAATTTGCGAAAGCCAGAATTAGCAGATCCGAGCGCATTCGAAGTTGCAGAACCCAAGAATTGTTTGGAAGAGAGAGACGACGCCATTGAAGGTCTATGTTAGAAGAATAATTGAGATTAAGCTGATAAAAGGTTGGAGTAGTAGAACAGATGTATTTGGAAATGAAAGAGGATGAATAAATTATGAAGTTAGGCTAATTTAGTTGGAGAGAAGAAACAGGGAATTTATTTAATTTGATTTATTTAAGTTTGTGAATGGAGGGGGTTGGTGAACATGAGAGGGTAGGTAAGTGGGTAGTTACAGGTTAGCCGTCGTGCCTTGTTCCCGTTCATTTTCTGCCACAATTTCGACCTTTTCAACATTTGCAAAATCAACTACAATATCCAAATTTCTATGAGGGTTTTCTGGCAACAATTATAAAGTTTTAAGGCCAATGTTCTTTAAATTTACTATGCTCTGCTATGTTAAAATATGTCTTACTCTATTGAAATATGTTCTACTCTGTTGAATTATATTTTTGTGGATAATAACAATTATAAAGGAATTTTTCCATCCTCTTCAATTCTTTATAAGGTTTCTAGTCCTCCTAGAACATTGGATTCTCTATTTGTCATTTTGTGGCTACAACACTGAAAGTATATGCTTAGTTACACATTTTTGATAACAAGGAACCTAATTTACAATAAGAAGTCACATAAGGCTTGAAAGGGTGTAGGGTTTTGGGTTTAGGGTTGTAATGAAATTATAACATATTTGGAGGACAATTATTAGAACATTTTTGGAGGACAATGAATAATCATATGGACAATGTGATATACTTAGTGACTAAATGATTATATTAATATGGACAATGTAATATGGACAATTAAATTATTAGACATTTTCATTATCATTTAAATACATTTTGATGTCATATTTTAAACAATTAATGTCATTAGTAGTATATTAATTGTCATTTGCAAAGCATAATAAACTATTTTTATATTTTAATTGTGTTTGTCATATTATGTCTTTTGTCGTATTCTGTCTTTTGTCTAATTCTGTGTTTTATCCCTATTTTGTCTTTTGTCCTAATCTGTCTTCTGTCCTATTTTGTTTTATGTCCAATTATGTGTTTTGTCATATTCTGTCTTTTGACTTATTAATGTCACATTTATTTGTCCGTTAGTGGTTTATGACAAATCTTCACAACTTTTCAAATGTTAGCGTCAAATATTATCATTTCCATAACTTCTTCTGTCATTAAATATGTTATATTGTCATTTATAAATTTGTCAAGTGAGAACTGAAAAATGTAGGATAACATTATTGTTACTTAAATATAAATACAACTAAGGATATGGATAAACCTTTATTTTAATTCATAAAAGTGAATTAGAACTAACCATATACAAAATAAACCTTTTGTTCTTTATTAAAAATCAAAGAGACAATGCATCTTTATTGGTCGATTTAGTTTGTTACTTCTAGTTTTAGTTGTTTCATTGTAATATCTATATAAGCTACTATGAAGTAACCAATATAACATCTAGAGTGAGCATAACAAGAACCTTTTTATATTAATATAAAAGTATATACAATGAGTACCTTTACAACTCTTAATATAATTAAATTATTATATTTTTATTAACTTATTAACTTATAAATATTAATATTACTATCATCTTAAAAGTCAATTAAAAATAGATATAAATAGTTATCATTAAAATATGTTTACTATTATTGATCATGTTATATTGTCATTACAATATTTTTTTACTGTTCTTTAATTTTTGTACCTTCGCTCCTTTATCTTTACAGCTGTAGGGTTTAGATGGTTAAGGGTTTAGGGTTTAGGGTTTAGGGTTTCGAGGGTTTGGAGGGTTTAGGGTTTAGGAATCTTTTATTCAATCTTTATTCATAACTTAATCCTTTAAATACTTATAAGTTATATTGTCATTTTAATATTGTTATGTCATTTCAATAAGGTATACTATGATTAATAAGCCATTGAGATGTGTATACTTTTTTCTTGAAAAACATATAAGATATATTATCATTTTAAAAGGGTACGTTGTCATTTTAATAATCTTTCTATCATTTGAAGAAGTCACATTGTCATTGTAATAAACTATAAGCCATGTTTTTAATAACTTACTAAGAAGTTATACTTTCTCTATAGGGGAACTGTTGGGATATGTGTGTGTGTGTGTATATCACACACACACATATATATAGACACACACACACACACACACATATATATATATATAGACACACACACACACACACATATAGACACACACATATATATATACACACACACGCACACACACACACATATATAGTCTTATGTAAGGATTATATTATCAATTTATAAAGTTATCGAAGATTTGATAATCAACCTGTTGATAAACTTTGTTCTTTAAAATCACCAATAACACTATATTGTGCTTATGATACTAAATTCACCAACATTATAATGTGTAGCCGAACCCAAATTACATATATAGCCTAACCCAAAAACTACATATATAACCGAATAGGTCTATAAAAAGTGGCCTATTGTTCAATAAATGTACATACAGTTAATGTCCCAAGAATGGCCTACTGTTTTATCAATGTACATCAAGTAATTGTCCAAAAAATGGCCTAACTTTTCTATAGTTGAAAGACTAGCCTACACACATATGGGTTTATCAATTTTCGCACATTCTCCCTGGCTTCATTAAAGTCACTCATGACATCTTCACATAACAACCATGACCTCTCCATTCGTTTGTCATCAAGTTGTGAATTACTGATAGTTAGCTTCATTTGAAACCAGAAGTCAAATATTAGACAGAATGTAAAAGGTTTATTTTTGCATGTTTACTAATTGTAGGCAAAGTGGCTTGGAACCTCTCCGCATTACGCTTGATAGCATGGAGCGTGTGGATTCCACAACTATGGCTGCATTAACAGAACAACATATGGAGGTTATCCATAATGAAAGAACACAAGCACATATGGAGGCCACCCAAAATGAAAGAAAATTATCACAACAATAAGTATTAAATCAAATACTAACCAAAAGAGGAAACATACCCATCGCTCTGTGCGGTCATCGATAGAGATGTCATAGGCCATTTTGTAATTGTCTTAGTTGGCCATCCTTCGTCCAAGGTGTGGAATATTTGATCCATTGCTTCAGCCTACCAATATAACAAAGACGAAATCAATTAGTTTTGAACACAATTAAGTACTAATACTGGAGGCCAAAAGTGAAATACCATTTTTGAAACCTCTGACTTATGGTAATCCACTGCTTTGGTTGTTACCAAGGAATCAATAACTAGTATCTCCTTACGATTTCTCGAGAAAGCAACATACCACCAATTCCCTTTTTGTATGACTGGTACAAATACCTAAAACTACATTGTAAAATGAAATTAAGATAAGGAAAAATACCTAAGGCCACATTGTAAAATGAAATTAAGATAAGGTAAAATAATGAAAGGAATGGTGTCCTTCAAACAAGTGTATTATTCCGATAGAGGGTTCGGAATTATTAGAAAGCTAATTCTTCAGTGAGGTCTAGTGATCGGAATGCCTAGGTGGAGGCCACTTCCGATTAGTAATATTAATGCATAATTAATATTACGACTTAATCTTGACTGAACTCTTCGGGTCGCACCCCAATCAAATAACCGATCCGAATCGACGAATTAATCCGAAGGATTAGATGAGTCATTAGAGTATTACGAACAAAGACGTCGGATATCGATCTTAGAGCGTCGAGACCGTGCGTCGCAAATCAAGCAAGCGACAAGTTCGTGCCAAGCCGTAGCCTCGCGTTGGCCTAGTCATGCGAGTGCTAAGCTAGGCGAGGTCACCATCCCATGAATGCCTAGCATCGCCTAGCACACGCACATCGCATGCCACTAGCATCGCAAGATGCGTGCCATGCGTGCATGTGTTGTGGCTGTGCATGCATGTCTGGGCGTGCTCGCTAGCATAGCAGCACCAGCCATTGCATCATGCTGGGCATGGCTAAGAACAACCCGTAAGCATCGCAAGGCCAGTAGCACGTAAGTGCTTGCTGGGCCTCGCTACCATAAGCAGGCAGCACATAACACACGCACCGCAGCACGCTATGCGTGCTTGTGCTATGGGTTATGCGTGCTAAGTAGTGGCACGCACCAAGCACCCCTAGGAATGCTAAGCAGTGCGTGTGTGTGATAGCGAGCAGCACCAAGCAGTACCATGCTAGGCATGCTGGGCTGCGCATGTGTGATTGCGAGCAGCACCAAGCACCACGCCACTCGCACAGCAGCATGCACCAGGTAGCATCGCATGCTCGTGCTGGTTGGCTATGTGTGCTGGCTGGCAACGCATGTGCTTGGGCAGGTTGGCCAGCAGCCCAGCCTTGGTGCTAGGCGCCAAATGGCAGCCTTGGCAGCCAAGGTTGGCTGGCAGCCAGCCAAGTGGCTTGGTGATGCAACTTTTGTGTGGGGACCTAGGGTTGGTGTTTTGCTTGGGGAGAAAGGTGAGTTAGTCCCCCCTTTGGTGGTCCTCACCTACTCTCTCCCTCCATATGACACTTGGAGCTTGTTGATTGCCTTGCATTTTATTTTGTTTTTGATTAAAATAAAATAAAGGAAAAAAGCAAATCTCCCACATTGATGTGAGAAGGGAGATCAAGTCTCTATTCCCTATAAATACCCAAGTTTTGGGTTTGATAAAAATCACTTGAGTTGAACTCAATACGGCATCTCCTTGAAAAGTGAAAAAACCTTTAAGTTCGTAATATTCTAGTTTTGTTTATTCATGTCCCGACTAACCTTCGGGATTAAGACCGTTCGGGTCAGCTTGAGAGTGCGAGCCGTAGGAGGCCGTCGCATTTGCGAGGCTCGAGCTTTGAAGTAAGAGCTCGTGAATCGAGCGAAGCACGTGTCAAGGGTAAGAATGTATTTTCTCTTTCTCTCTCTAATGTTGTTATTTATGTGATTGCATGTTTAGTTGCTTTAATTAGTGAGCGGGTCTTAGCCGGGCTTCTCTTTCTCGTAGCATTGGACGCTACGTATTAAAACCCAACAGCGGTATCGGAGCCGCGCTCATTTTAATTATTGTAACTAATAATTAATTGAGGTGGTTTAAAATGGATTTAAATTCTGGTTTTGCTTTCTAATTAGATTAGAAGCTCGTTTTAATTAGTTTTAATCTCGGGTTTTACTAATTTTTGCCTACGAATCCAGATTTCGACTCAAAAAAAGTGATTTTTGGGTGGAATCGATGTTCTACATCATTTTTTACCCTCTTTGAT